GTCAGATCACTAAAATGTTGATTTCACTAATAACCAGTTGGGATAGAAGTGCAAAGCTAAGATTTGAATTCTAGTTGTGACACTACAGCCTGTGCTTAACTATTGTATGCATTGTTCCATGGTGTTTGGTTTCACATTTATCAGTAATATAACCTTGACCTTTTGTTATTTATTTATGTTTTTGACCAGAGACCCATCTATTTTGGATAGTTTAGATTTGAATGAAGATGAACGGGAAGTACTCATTAATAATATTAATAGGCGCTTGACCCCACAGGCTGTCAAAATTCGAGCAGGTAAATGATTTTCTAAATGATTTTTACAATATTTTGCATGCATCAAAAAAGCTATTAAATAATGAGACTTACCAAAGTATATGTTGCTACATCAACATCTATAAAGTTTTCTAAACGTTTGTTTTTTATAACAGAAGCTTAAGAAATTATTTTGGCTTCTGAATCATAAAATTTATATATTGACACAAGTAGAAACAGTCTTGTGAGTTCAGCTAACCTAAAGGTAGCCCTTTTTTTAAAAAGAGGGATTTGATTGTTTTGTTTTAGTGCATACTTTAAAATATTCCAAATGTTTACAAAGATGGGACATACCATGCAGAATTTTCTCCAACTAGCCTTTTCCACCCAGTGTATCATAGGTACCCTTCCATTGCAGAACATAGGAATCTTTCTCATTCTTTCTTATGCTAGGTAATGTTTCATAGAACAGATAAACCTTAACATAAACCAGTACCCTCTTGATGAACATGTAGGTTGTGCCAGTTTTCTCACAGTTACAAAAAAAAAGCTACAAATTAGCACCCTTATATTATACATACGTACCCATTTACACAATGTTCTTCAAGACAGATTCCTAAAAGTAGAATTTCTGAGTCAAAGGGTAATACAATTTCTGAACTGTTTTAGATAAATTGCAGTTACTGTTAACATTCCATCTTTACCACACTCCTCCTTACCTCCATTTTATAAATAAGGAACTGCAGTATAGAGAGGTTGGATTCAGGGTATTTGAATACTAGTATATCTGCCACATATTTGATTTCCTTTAAACTTTTAAGTATTTTTTGCATTTTTTGGTATCAACTTTTGAACTTTTGTAATTGTAGATATTGAAGTGGCTTGTTATGGTTATGAAGGCATTGATGCTGTAAAAGAAGCCCTAAGAGCGGGTTTGAATTGTTCTACAGAAAACATGCCCATTAAGGTAAGTTGTCAGTTGTCTCCCTCCCGACTGAAATGCCCACCTAAACCAAATAGGATCTTTGATCTTTGTTTCGATTTTTTTTTTAACCACGTTTCATAACAAAAGTGGGTTTTTTTGCTCTTAAAATTGAGCAGTGGTTCTTGGTAATATTTCTAGATATTTGTGATTTATGTTTAGGCTTTTTTGGTTTCTACTGTTACTATCACAGTGGATGGAGATTCCTATTGGTAGAAAGCCAGCGATGCCAAACCTCCTTTACAATAAAGAGTTGCTGTGCCCAAAATACTGATAGTACTGTAAAAAAGAGTAACACTTTCTTCCATCTGTACACATACAAATTTTATGAGGTTTGATCAGAATCTTTCATTAGTGATAAAATTAACTGGATGACTGTAACTCAGAATCTCGTAGGAGGATTCTTCCATCAGTTTAGGTCAGAGACAAATTATCCATTATACTGATGATAACTGCAGTTAATTTAGCCACCAAATGTAACCCAGAAATGATAATTCTTTGTATTCAGTATTGCAGTGGACTGTTTATACTGCATTAGATCCCTGTATTGATTTACTTTTGCTACATTAACAAATCACCCCAAAACATAATTGCCAATTCTGTAGGACCCTAAATTTCTGTCCTGTAGGATTGGCAGTTATGTTTTGGGGTAATTTGTTAACACAGCAGATTAATAAAATCTCAAGCATCCTAATAGTTGTGGGTTCTATAGGTACATTCATAATTGAATTTTTGTCTTTCTCTTTTAGATTAATCTAATAGCTCCTCCTCGGTATGTAATGACTACAACAACCCTGGAGAGAACAGAAGGCCTTTCTGTCCTCAGTCAAGCTATGGCTGTTATCAAAGAAAAGATTGAGGAAAAGAGGGGTGTGTTCAATGTTCAAATGGAGGTGAGATCAATAGATTCATTTTTAATAATGACTCAGGAGGTTTCTAAAAGGAGTTCTTGTAGGTAAATAAGAGCTGTCAGCCTTGGAATGTCATATTGTAGGATGGTCATTCAGGCCTTTGATCACTAATGGTTTTAGGGGTCACCCCCCACCCCCAGCCAGGAGGAAGGGAATAAACAATATAAATGAGAAGTTTTTTTATTGTTTGAATTTGGATGTGGCGTGTCTAAAATTTGATCTCACAATTGGGGAAAAAAAAGTTGTCTCCTGTCTTTTCCTTGTCCAACAAGAAAGAAACGTGTGTGTGTGTGTTATATAATGGTTCCTTCTATGGAAAGGACTAGTAAGCTAGTAAGTAGTAGTTTGAGCCTGGAAGATGGTTTTTTTTTAACAGGACATCTATTTGTGGTCTTGAAAGATGCAGCCACTGGGGTTATTTCATGTTTTCAGTTTTAGCTTATAAAAATGACAAAATAATTTTCCATTTTAATACATACATCCTTTTTCTATACTCTTCTCATAAGTTTCACCTATTATTTATGTAATGGAATTTATTAGTAATGTCACTCAAAAGTAAACAGATATTATGATAGAGTTGTTAGAAAAGTGTTAAAGAGAGAAAACATTAGGCAGTAATCGTATTGAAATTAAATTTGTATAGTATTTACTACTTCAGTTTGAAATTATAATACTCTGCTTCCACAGCCCAAAGTGGTCACAGATACAGATGAGACTGAACTTGCGAGGCAGATGGAGAGGCTTGAAAGAGAAAATGCCGAAGTGGATGGAGATGATGATGCAGAAGAAATGGAAGCCAAAGCTGAAGATTAACTTTGTGGGAAACAGAGTCCAATTTAAGGAACACAGAGCAGCCCTTCCTGGCTGTAAATCCTAGACTTGAAAGTTTTCCAGTATTGAAAACTTCAAAGCTGAATATTTTTTATTTCTAAGTATTTAAATGTTCTAACAGATCGGAACATGAAATGCCCTCCTAAATGTCAGCTGTTGTCACACAGTAGCTCCAACACTTTGAGCATTTTTAAGGGAGTGGCCTCATTTCACTAGAGACAAATCTTTAAGAATAGTTCTAAAATTGGGCTTGTGATTTCCATTTCTGATGTCTCCAGATTGGCACCCCTTTCTAGTTCAATGCCTCACGAGATTTACCAGGGGCATCCAAAGCAAACAATCCCAATCTTTCTATATAAAATGTATTCAAACAAACATCAAATAAATTTCTGGGATATTTAACTATAGGCTTCTTCCTTCTTGTCACCAGTTAAAAGCATTTTGAATACTAAGACCCTAATTCTTTTATCTTTATTTTAGTCTTGATGTGGAACTGTAGGAGCAGTTGAATAAAGGATCTCTATAACAGATCCTTTCAAAAGAAGAGTTTAGAGAAAATAAATTTAACCACAGTGCAAGTTGACCCTTAGCGGGACAAAGCCTTAAAATGCAATGGAAGAATTAAATTGGTTCTGTGCCTTTTATCTATTCAAGATTGATGACAACTTGTGTGAGAGAATTTATCACACCACGTCCTTATTGGTATAATAAGCTACTTGCCTTGAGTTTATAATTTAGGGTGGTAAAGTATGTTTTTAAAATTTAAAAAGCAGCTGCGTTTTTTAGTTGGAGTATCATCACCCAATTTTTGATTTTTATTCGTGATATCCACTAGGTGCCACCTAGAGCTCCAGTTCTTTATAACAAAACAGGGATCTGTTTGAACACTTACTGTTGTTGGGTTTTTTTTGTTTTTTTTTTTTTTAACATGTTTCCATTTCTGTCTTCAAGAACTAATTTGTACATAATAAGTTTCATAGGTAACACATTATTTGAAGTTACAGCTACATTTAGTCGGGTGTGGAAAATCTTGAGTTGCTTTGGTCTGCTTGTCTTCATAAATTTATTCTGTTACGATACTTGAGGCACCAGTTGTATTTAATTTTATTCATTATCCCTAGATAGCTATTAAGATACTTAGATTAGACCTAACCCACCATAGTCAATCCAAGACTAGACTACTCAATATTAAAGGGTCTGGAAAATAGAAGAGTGTGTTAGGCAGATAGTTTGTACCATTCATGAAGGTTTGCTCCTTTGTTAAATTTAGCAACCTGTACTAGCTTTTGAAATCCAAAAGTTTTAACTTCCAGTGGCTGGTTTCTGAGAGAGTGCCATGATTGCTAGCTAGCATTCCACATTGGGAATATGTAGAGGAGAACCTGGATGTACTTAAGAGTGGCACATAATTTTCACTTCTGTCTGTTGAGGCATCAAAAAAACAAGTTTAGAAAGCTGGCAACATGAAGAATGCATTCAAAATATAACAGGTGCTCCTTTGTTGTATACAGAGGAATTTTTTTCTTGAATTGTTTACTGAAATTTGTTTTACTTCAAAAGCCATAACTTGAAAAATACTGGTGGCATCGATAGTGATTATCCCACGTGGGCCTTTTGCTCAGTTCCATGACAATTTTGTAAATTGACCCTAGCCAGAGAATAGATCAGTATTTCACTGATACCATGAGGAAAAGAACAAACAAAACTTAAAGCGTGCATATACCTTGTTAACCTAAAAGCAGGGACAAGATAAATATGAGGACAAGTTATATACCCAGTTCTGAATAACTTGAAGAACAGGCTTGGCAAAGAAGTAAGTTTATCCAAATCTTGACTTTCTGCCAGGCACGGTGGCTCATGCCTGTAACCCCAGCACTTAAGGGGCCAAGGCAGGAAGGTCACTTGAGGCCAGTGAGCTGTGATCACTCCAGTGCACTCCAGCCTGGGTGACAGGTCAAGATGCTGTCTCAAAAAAAAAAAGCCAAAAATCTTGAACCTCCCATCAAAGCCTTTTCATTAAAAATACGATTTCATCTACTCCCCACTGTACCTTTCATTGATGGCAAGTGGCTATCAATTAATGTAGCTGAAAATTAGTGATAGTTTGGGTCTCATTTATGCATAAATTAATTGAAAATGAGTAATAGCCAGGAGGAAATACGAATATTCAAACCAGTTTTTTTTCTTTCTTTTTTTTTTTTTTTTTTTTGGCAAATGGTGTTATATTGCCCGGGCAGGTCTCGAAATCCTGGGCTCAAGCTGTCCTGCCTCTGCCTCTATAAGAGTATGAGCCACCATGCCCCACCCAAACCATTTTTCATATCAGTTATAGCAAAACAAGACAAGCCAGTTCTTAAGTGAATAATGTTCAAAGATAGATCCATAGAGACATGCTAAGCACTACATCATGGTAAGAACAGTTATTACTCAGCTGCCATACTCCAGCCATTCTACTTTTACACCAAGAACAAAATGGCTGGAGATTTTTTTAAAAATACAAATGCCAGTACCTTGCCGAGACTTGTTCACTGATTTGCCCCAACCCCAAGGTAATGGTCATCTACTTTGCAACCTATGGAGATCCTGATAGCTCCCATACAAAGTGAGGCACATGTGCCAATTTGGAGGCAGGAAGCCATCAAACTAAATGTAGTTTAATTCAGATAAACACCTATCGATATTCAAAAGGCAAAACAAAAAAACTAATTCCAGGGGCATTAGACCTTGGTGAAATGCCAAATGGAAAATGGTGCTTTAAAAGGTAGTCTCTTACCATATAAGGAATAAGTAAAACATTAGCTTGGGATTTCTCATTATTCAGGTCAATGTTTTAGACACGATTAACAAGAGACAGTTCGAACTATTTAAGAGGACAAATTTTTACTTAAGCACTTTGAAGTATCCACTCCCCTTAAATGTAAGTTATGTATTTTATCTGTTGATTAAGGGGAGGTCCAAGCATTTGTACTTGGCAAGAATGCTGGCAATAGCTTGTGCCAGATTACTGTATAAACTTGAAAGTAATAAAAATGTTCTTAAAAAGTATTGTATGATACAGACTTTTCACTACAGATTAACCTCCCAACTGGTGAAGTTTCCTGGTACCTATTTGTCTCAGCTTATGTTCATTTTAAAACCAAAATTTAATGTCTTGATATAAACCTTCCCCGTTTACATCTTTTTCTGTCCTTCAGAGCATTCTTACTCTGCATCTCTAAATGCCTATTTTTCATAGAAAAGCTATGTATGTATTTTTCATATATGTGATTAAGTTCTCCGACAGAGTCCATGACTTCTGTAATGTATAATATTTATGCAGGCTTGTTTTCTAAAGCAAAACAATATTCTCTGAATGTACAAAGTTCGGCCACCATCCCCACTTTAAGATGAAGTATGTCTTAATGACAGAGATACTTGAAATGTTGCTTGAAAACTATAAAACTTTGTATGGGATTCTAATAGCCAGAAACAGATATCAGCTTTTACTAATTCCAAAGAAGTTAAGAGAGAACCGCATAAGAAGAGAGTTTTATTCAACATTATGGCATGGCCAGTGTAATTGTTCCAACAAAGGGAACCTACTTTGGTGCCCGAGGAAATGGCTGTTTGTGATGCTGGGCAAAAGTCAAGATGCTGACACCTAATGGCTGTTCTAGCCTTTCCAGGTTTGTAACATGAAGATGAGGAAGGAAATGGCACCATTGCTGTTTGTAATCTGAGGAACTCTTCAGCATTCACTCTCCAAAGCAGTACAAAACTTACAAAGAAGTCAAAAGTCTTTACACACTCCCATTCTCCAGGAATTCCTGTCTGTGTCATCTGGTAGGAGGGAGGAATCCTGGTTCCCTCAGGTCCTTGTCATGTTAGCTTTTTGATAGCTTCAATCCACTCAGCTCGCTCAGCCTTGCTGCTGGCCTGAATGTAATAGTGTGTGTCATCCTTAGTAATCACTTTGAAGAGGTTTCCCTGGACATTCCCTTTAACCCCTACGCAGAAAAAAGGAGGGGGGGTGGAAATCAGTGATTGAATAGCCATGTCTGCTTTCACCTTGAACCAGCAGAAAGTCAACTGAGACATGGACAAAAACATACAATGACGTATTTATTAAATAAAAGGTATACAGTTAGAGAATCCTATCAGATGAGGTCCCCTTTTCCTCCCATTCCCTGTCCCTCACCAGTGCCCTAAGGCCTGTCAATGGTTATGTCTGGATATTCCTGGAAGCCCTGTTGCCTGCTCCTATGCTCAAGATGGTAGCATGCTATAGATCTACCATTTCATTTACACCAAAGAATCCAGTATGTTTATGTTAAAAGCAAGCACAGAATTTGGAGTTTGATCTCAAATTGTTTAACTTATTGGAACCCCAGTTTCCACAGCCATAGATGGGAATAATATCTTACTATGGCTGGCTATTGTGAAATTCCTGTTATGATATATATTAAGGTATGTTGTTAACCCTAAAGCATTGTGTAAGCTTCAGCTATTATTTTTAGGTGGAAGCTTACAGGCCATCAGCATAGAAACTGAGGGGAAAGATTAATAACATAAGGATTACTTAGCTGCATTCTTAAAACGCCAAGAACATACCCTTTGTTCAATTCTGAAAATCGCTTCAAAACTCACACCACTCTGTCTCATTGAGAAAGCCTTGCTCAGCTTCCAAAGCTGTCGTTTCATTAGCGGGACGTTACTGAGGTGCAGGAGGGAGGCCCCTGAGATCTTCAGGCCAGGGCTGAAGTTGCACCTTACCAGTGGGAACGCCATTATCCTCCAGAGCAGACACGAGTGAACCACGAAGAGAAAACCCACCCACTGGCCTGTTCTCTTCCTGCAGAGGAAAGGAGACCCAATTAGGAATTTGTGAATACACAAAAGCGAAGAGTTGCACTCCCCTTACAACTCAGGCCAGCTAAAGAAGTCAGTGCAAAATCATTTGTAATAGAAGATGAAGCTGAACTTGGACATCACATGGCCAAAGCTGTATGCACGAGTAAGGAAGCTTGGGCCTCTGTTTCACAGCAGGCAGCAGAAGTGCCCACCAATGTTGTGGTTACCAAGTCTCGCAGACTTGCAAATTTGCTTTTCATTCCTGGAGATGTCTCAAACAGAGCCTCTGATCCAACATGCTACACAGAAAAACATTCACTGGCTTCCTTAACCCTTGTGTGCATCTTACAAAGCAATCAGAAATATATATTTATAGTAATCATTTCTTTTTTTTTCTTTTTTGAGACAGAGTCTCACTCTGTCTTCCAGGCTGGAGTGCAGTGGCACAGTCTCGGCTCACTGCAACGTCTGCCTCCCAGGTTCAAGTGATTATCCTGCCTCTGCCTCCCGAGGAATCGGGATTACAAGCACATGCCACCACACCTGGCTAATTTTGTATTTTTAGTAGAGGCGGGGGTTCATCATGTTGGCCAGGCTGGTCTCGAACTCCTGACCTCAAGTGATCTGCCCTCCTCAGCCTCCCAAAGTGCTGGGATTACAGACATGAGCCACCACATCCAGCCATAGTCATCATCTCTGCAAAGTTGATAGATTCCTGCACATAGGACATCGTTACACAAGTCTAGCATGTGCCTAGCATGAAACTTCGTGTGATACAAAACTGTGATTGGTGGTGTCCCTGGATGATTTAGGGCAATTTTACACACCACGTGCCTCGGGCCCCAGGAGCCCTTCAATTAATCAATAATCAACTTCATACTGCATGTTGGGCCCAGCAAGAGGTAGGGCAAAAAATAAAATGGTTAAATAAAATACTGGAAATATTTGTACTACTAAATGCTAATGGGAGGAAAGTTCAGAGAAGGAAGGGATCTGCCCCAGCCTGGAGGGTTCAAGGGCAGTCTCAGGGAGGACAGGAGACTTGAATTGGGCCTGGATAGGAGAGTAGGTCCCCGGGCAGGAGAGGGGCATTCAGCCCAAACAGGAGGAGGAGTGGGAGTAAAGTGGGGAACAAATTAATTGCAGAATGCCTTTGAGATGGTTCCTTATCTTGTACCTGCAGCCCAGAAACTTGGCAATTCTTTTATTTCCTTTGCACACTTGCTTTGAGTAATCTCTTCTGCACTGTTTCCATCTATGTACATATGTGAGCATTTGTGCGTGTGTACATATATATGTATATATGTATATTTACATGTATATGTACTTAGGTGTGTACAGGCACATATGTGTGTATGTACATTTTCTGTTTCCTATTTTAAAAGCTGAGACAGCAGACTCATCAGGGGCACAAAGAAAGTAGGTTAGGCTAGACCATGGTGAGAGTTAAATATAAAACTAAAGTGTTTTTTCATTTGTTTATTTCTTCCTTGCTTCAAACAGGATTTGAGGTAGCCAGGAAGGAAGGAGTTTGAACTCCATCCTGTAGCCAGGCCACCATGACCCACAGAAAGGTCAACTGGAGCTTTTTGGAGGCTCCTCCTGCCACATCCCTCGCCCTGGGCCCTCCTGTGGCCTGGCTGGGTCCAGGCAGGGGTTCCTGATTGAAGCTCAGTGAGGAAGGAACTGCCCACTCTTCACTATTTCAACAAAAACTAATGAAAGTCGTACATCGCCCAAGACAAGGCTGAACTGCTAACTAAAGGGCCCTTTTTATTTGCTTTTGACTGGAATTAGATCCACTCAGCATGTGGTAATACCTAGTATCAGAAACAGAAAAATGTTTTTTTTTAATTCGCCATCAAAGTTTTTTAAAAAGCAAATTAGTAAATTCTGGCTTAAATATTATATGGTGACAGAAACTTTTCAAAACATAGGTGGGGAAAAGTGGAGGGTACGCAGAATTAATGGGGTCTCTGAATGGAAAGTGTGGAGAGGCTGGGAAGTGCCAGTAGGAGTCTCTGTCAGCCTACCTCATCCTCCCTACTCACAAAGCAGGCTTTGGGGAAGACCAAAAGATGCTTTTCCTCTGAAAATGATAAAGATGGGCCTCCCATGGGAAAGTGGGGGATTAGGCATAGGAGAAACCGCTCAAGAAAAAGGCACCTATGTGATGACAGGGCAGAGCAGCTTGGACTGTGGAAGGAAAGGCAAGGTGCAGCAGAAGCAGGTGCCAGGGGAAGACAGGATGCCCAGCCAGCTGCCCGCTGTGCCAGGAGAGGAGTGTCTGGGGGCATCACAACACGGGACCAGCACGGAGCCAGCATGCGCACTCACTTTGGAAGGGTCGTAGTAATGCAGGAAAGCTGGATCCTTCCTCAGAACAAAGCGGCGCACCTTCCAGTTTTTCCTCTTGTGCCCCTGAGGCAAAGAAATGGTTCCAAGTTCATTGGTGACAGTTGCATGTCCCTCTCTCCTGCATCTATGCATGTAACAGCAAGCCCCCAACAAGCCAGCCTGCTCCAATGGGACTACATTTTAAAACCAGTCCGCAGGATACCTAAGGATAGCAATGACATCTCACAGACCTCCCTGCCAGCACCCCCACTCAATGACACTTTAGCAAAAACGCCATCACCTTAAGTCGGCAGAGCCAAAGAGAGTCCATGCAGAAGGAAAAGGGACACACACCACTCAGGGCATAAAAGAGGACAAGGAGGCAGGAGGTGTCAGCTGGGCTGGGAGCACACAGGTAAACTTGAGCCCAAGGGCACCAGCTAAGGGCCACATCAGTCCAAAAACAAACCTTCAGCTGCATGTATATTTGTCAGTCTACGCATGTGCCCACATGTGCAGTAAAACCACTTTCACATTGCGCTTTAGGAAAAAAGCAAGAAATGATCAATTATATGATAAAACCTAAATGTGTAAGAAGCTGACATGTGCGTGTGTGTGCACGCGTGTGTGTGTGTGTGTGTGACTTTCTTTGGCCTCACTGACTGGGAGGGCTAAGGTTAGATCACAAACCTGAGCCCTCCTAGTCAGGAATACCCTCAGAGTCCCTCCCACATCCTCCTCAAGCTCCCCTAGGGGCCTCTTTTCCTCCCCTTGGGAAGGACTCCTATCAGGCCCAGCAGAAGCAGGGCCTTGGTGCAGACAGGCAGCGGTGGGGATGATAAGAATCTAAGAGCAGATGAGGATCCTGATATGCAAGAAGCAGGTGACAGCAACAGCACATGCTCCGAGTAATGATGGGAGTGGCGCCAAGCCATGTACGTGCCCTCTGTGCGGACACACACATTCGCATGGTATACAACATGTGCACAAACATGAAGGCCATGCAAAATGTCTGCTTCACTTCCTGTGCCAAGGACAGGTGATTTTGTTCACAGAATACCCTTTTTGTTAGGCACAGGTAGGAATGCCACAGGACACGGCTTGCCTCTGGTTCAACGCAGCTGCTCTCCCAAACACGGTTTAGGAGTAGTGCCCATGGCCAGGCTTTGAACACTGAGCCTTACCATCGAGAATCTGATCTTCAACCTACCGACATGGTAGAAAAAATTGTGTTTAGCTCAGAAAGTGTATCAAGGGGGTGTGCAGAATCTCACAAGGGAAAGCAGAGACCCCAGGACGCCCCAAGGAACAGAAGGCCAGCAAATGCAAAACCTCAAGCCAGTCAGCAACGCCTCCAAGACAAATATGTGAAGCTGGGCAATTCTGTAGAAGTTGTTTTTTGATGTTGTGATAATTATGTGTGTATAGTACAGTTTTCCTGAACCGCCCTTGTGTCTGGCACACGTGTGTGTGTAAGCGTGAGCATGTGCCTGTTCTTTGACTTGCTTCTGGGGGCTGGCTGGGCTCCTGCTTTCATAGATTCTGCTATAATTGGTGCCCTCCAGCAGCCTCAGCCCTTCCCTTCCTCTGTGCTCACTGCTGCCTCCCCTAAGCTTGAGAACTGTCCATCTCTCTTCCCTGCTCCAAAGCAGCCATACCTGCTTGGCCAGGTAGCCTTGTTTCACCACCATGCCACTTAACTCCACAGTGCTCAGGTTAATTTCTTCCTTGGGGCTTATCTTCTTTTTGTAGCTCTCAGCCTAGGGGGAAAGAGGGAACAAGGACTCTGCTATAGCAAATACCCAGGCCCAAGCTACGGCGGCTGTCAGAGGGGAAAGGAAATTCTTCAGGACAGAAACCTCATTCTGCATCAGGATGAAGTCGTCCCCCAAGCCCAAGGTCTCCTCCCGTGACTGTGGACCCCAGGCCCCCACTCTGTTGTGTCTTCCTTAACCTTCGCCCTGGTGGCAAGAAGAACCCACTCCCCAACTTACAAAAGTATACAGGGCTGTGGAGTCATCCAGGAACTGCTCGGCCAGATCCCCAGAGCGAATGGCTCCCATGCTTCGGACACCCACCGGCCTGAGGAAGTTCTCCTCCATGAGCATGGAGGCCAGGGTCACTGCCTCCAGACGGCTGGCCACAAAGCTGTTGGAGATGAGCCAGTCTACCAGGGAGGAGCCTGGCCAAGGGCAGCACCAGTCAGGCAACAGGTAACGGACCAGCGTCCTTGGGGTGTGTGGCCAATGACCTCACTGACCTTAGCCCTCTGGGCAGCCTCAGGGCTCTACCCAAGAGCAGACTGAAGGCCATACCTGCTGCATAGAGCTGTGGCTGCACACCCACACGTGGCCATCTCAGGCCAGCCTGTTGCCCAGCAGGAAGCTCTGACCTCAATACAGGGTGGTCAAGCACACAGTTGAGCCCTGCATCACCATGTCCCAGGTTGACCGCCCAGCCCGGCCCTGGGGAACAGGCTCACCGAGGAAGGTCTTTTTGTAGGTGCTTCCCTGCTCCATGTTGGGGCTTGAACGGATTCCGGTGCTGCTATCATGCATCTTGTCCACAATGCGACTACATAGAAGGGAAGGCAAAGGAGAGGGAACCCTCGTCACGCTGGTAGGTACAAGGGAGGGTCCTGAGTCACTGCTAAGGGTATAAAGCAAGTGGCAAATGGTGTGACACACATCACAAAAAAAGGGGGTGTAGGAAAGCAGCCTTTTGCACCGCAAGAGTGATGCCATCTTGAAGTGAAGCCACCGTGATGATTGATTTTTTGTTTTTTGTTTGTTTGTTTTTTGAGACAGAGTCTTGCTCTGTCACCCAATCTGGAGTGCAGTGGCGTGATCTCGGCTCACTGTGACCTCTGCCTCCCAGGTTCAAGTGATTCTCCTGCCTCAGCCTCTGGAGCAGCTGGGATTACAGGCATGTGCCACCACGCCCGGCTAATTTTTGTAGTTTTAGTAGAGACGGGGTTTCACCATGTTGACCAGGCTGATCTCGAACTCCTGACCTTAAGTGATCTGCCCGCGTCGGCCTCCCAAAGTGCTGGGATTACAGATGTGAGCCACTGTGCCTGGTCTGTGATGGATGTTTGACTCCCGCATACCACGGTGTTCCCATAGCGCAACTCACCCCTCATAAAGATGTTTATCTAACCTCCCCAGCGGTCACAGGTTTCACAAGAAAGTCTGAGGCACGACTAGCTGCACATTTTCCCAAAAAAGCTTGCTATAGAAAGGATATTTTCTGGAGGACAAGTGTGGTGATTCACTGTCTCTTGGCCAGCAGAGACATCACTTCTGTTTGTAAGTCCCTATTAAATGCCTCTTTGTGAGAAACTGGATTTGTCAGCCTCTTTCTTCTGCCTCTCAGCTACCTTGTTCTTTGCAGGTAGGTCTGTTTATACCTCCTCACCACAGAAGGGGGTGTTCAGTTATGCATCAAAATTTGAGAGGCAGGATTTTCAGACATTTCTTTTCTTCTTCTTGCTTATCTAAATGTTCTAATATTTCTATGCCAAACACATACTGCTTTTGTAGTAAAACCAAAGCGCTGTGACTTTTAACTTACAAACAAGAGTGTATGCTGGGCACAGTGGCTCACATCTATCCTCCCAGTGTTTTGGGATACTGAGGTGGGAGGATCACTTGAGCCCAGGTGGTCAAGGCTGCAGTGAGCTATGATCGAGCTGCCGCACTCCAGCCTGGGCAACAGAGTGAGACCCTGTCCCAAAAAAAGAAAAACAAAAAAAGCCCCAAGAGTGCACAGTAGCCCACATGATTCTCTGTGATCCCCCTGCATTAAGTCCAAACCCCCTCAGCTACTTTTTGAACTATCTTTGAACCCACCTGCCTACCCACCCTTATCTGCAGCTGATCCTCCCTGCACCCACCAGTGTTCAGCAGCTCCCTAGACCCATAGGAGGTGTACAGTCAAGGTTTCAGTGCCTGGTGAGCCCAGGAATGGACTCATACATCTTTGATGGGTGTAACAGTTCTGTTGCCTGGGAGGCCGGTGGAGATTCACTGTGGTTTGAATGTTTATCCCAAAAATCATGTTGAAAATCCCCAATGTGGCAATATTGAGAGGTAATGCCTTTAAGAGGTGATTGGGTCATGGCGGCTCTGCCCTTGTGAATGGATTAATCCATTCATGGATTAACGGGTTAAATGAGTTAATGAATTATCATGGGAATGGGACTGGTGGCTTCATAAGAGGAACAGAGACTGCAGTAAGCATGTTAGCATGTTCAGCCCCTCACTGTGTGATGCCCTGCACCACCTCAGGACTCTGCAGAGAGCTCCCACCAGCAAGAAGGCCCTCACCAGATGCAGCCCCTCAACCTTGGACTTCCCAGCCTCTATAATGATAAGAAATAAATCCTTCCTTATGAGTTACCCAATTTCAGGTATTCTGTTATAAGTAACAGAAAACAGACTAAGACAAGATTTTTAGGGAGCTGTAACAGAGCCCTGAGCACCCTGGCTGAAATGGAATGGGGGTCTTGTGTCATGGAGGTGTGCAGAGGTGGCAGGAGCCACAAGAGATCCCATAGAAATGGGGCAGGTACATAGGGCCACTCCCAAGCAGAGAAAATCATATACACAGGACAGGAACTGCTGAAGGCCCTGAAGCACTGTGGTAGCACCAGCCAGGCTATGAAGCAAGCACAGAGCCCCTCCAAGAGGCAGGGTGCCCTGCCCACCAAACACAGGCAGGAAAGGCTGCCACAGAGCCTGGCAAGCGGGGCACTCACTGCAGGCTGATGTGCGGGGGCAGCTTGAAGGAGTTTCTCAGGCTGTGCAGCTGCTGGACCTTCCCCGGCTGCCCTGCGTGAATAGCCCCGGTTATCTCAAAGGCCCAGGCATCCCGCTCCTCTCGAGAACAGGCCTCCAGGAAGTACTCTGTGGATGTTTGAGTCTTCAGCTTAATGAGGAGCTGTGGGAAGAGACAGCCAGTCAGACCAGCACACAGGCAGAGCAAGAGGACGCCAGGCAGCAAAAATGACGGGACCCCGGAAGAATCTAGGTGACAGTGACTGCCAAATGCCCTGAGCCCTCAGCCACACAGCAGGTGGTCTTTAAAGATTCACTTGGACACCTCCAGTGACAGGAAGCTCACGGCCTCACATGGCAGCCTTTCCCTTGTGGACAAGGCAGTTAGTGTAGGGCCTGCTTCCTGGACATGCTAGTCGTGTTCTCTCTTCTAGAACCACACAGATGAAGAGTCACCTCCTATGACAGCCCCTACACTGAAGAGAGAAATGCCCAGGCTTCAAAGTCAGACCCATCTGAACACAAACCCCAGCTCTGCCACTTGGCTGTGGACTCCCGGGAACATTAGGAAATGACAGGATATTAATGCCTACCTCGAACGGACTGTTAGTCATGCTCCCTTCCGTCCTCTTTCCTTGTGTCTAAGCATCAAGTCTTTCACACATTTCTCATAGGATATAGTTTCAGCTCCTTCCCATCCAGGTTGCTTTGTTTTTGTTTTGTTTTGTTTTGTTTTTTGTTTTTTTCTTGAGACGGAGTCTTGCTCTGTTGCCCAGGCTGGAGTGCAATGGTGCGATCTCAGCTCACTGCAACCTCCGGCTCCCAGGTTCAAGCGATTCTCCCGCCTCAGCCTAGGGAGCAGCTGGGATTACAGGCGCCCATCACCATGCCTGGCTAATTGTTGTATTTTTAGTAGAGACGAGGTTTCACCATGTTGGCCAGGCTGGTCTCGAACTACTGACCTCAGGTGATCTGCCCACCTCAGCCTCCCAAAGTGCTGGGATTACAGGCGTGAGCCACCGTGCCCAAACCCATCCAGGTCACTTTGTGCTACGTGTTCTACACTTGGTCAACATTCTCATAAATACAGTGCATGGAATGGAACACACAGCTCCAGGAGAAGTCTGAGCCCGCTGGCTGTGGGCAGCTGCAGGGCACTGTAGACTCAGTGCTGTCAGAAGAGAATCTTTTTCATGTAGGCCACTTCTCTATCTTTTAAGTGCACATTTATGGGATTTTTTTTGGATCAATTGTGGGATTGATAGGAGACTATTAATCGGGTGGTAGGTGGATCCATCACTTCTGTTGGAAAACAGAAGCATTTTATTTCATTCTGAATCTGTTTTCCAAAGGATTCTCTCCCAACTTACTTTGCTTACAAACTTAGTCAACATCCCTCATCCAAACTAAATGGTGAATAAGACATGGCTGGGCTGGGCTGGGCACGGTGGCTAATGCCTGTAATCCCAACACTTTGGGAGGCCGAGGCGGGCGGATCACGAGGTCAGGAGTTCAAGACCAGCCTGGCCAATGTGGTGAAACCCTGTCTCTACTAAAAATACAAAAATTAGCCCGGCGTGGTGGTGGGCGTCTGTAGTCCCAGCTACTCAGGAGGCTGAGGCAGAAGAATCACTTGAACCCGGCAGGCGGAGGTTGCAGTGAGCCAAGATTGCGCCCCTGCACTCTAACCTGGGTGACAGAGAGAGACTCTGTTTCAAAAAAAAAAAGGCATGACTGGTTCATGGTCCTAAAGAACACCACAGGCCGGGCTCAGTGGCTCACGCCTATAATCCCCAACACTTTGGGAGGCAGAGGTGGGTGGATCACTTGAGGTCAGGAGTTCAAGACCAGCCTGGCCAACATGGTGAAACCCCAACTCTACTAAAAATACAACAAGTAGCTGGGCATGGTGCAAAATTGTGCCACTGAACTCCAGCCTGGGTGACAGAGTGAGACTCCATCTAAATAAAAACACACACACCCACCATGGAGCTGCTCCTTCGGTAGTAGTAGCCTGACAGTGAGCTCATCACCACTGTGGAAGAACAGAGTTTAGCCAGCTTCCTGAACCCCTGTTATCAGCCTGCAGTTCACCATTTCAATGAGCAGAATTTTAGGACACACTATAAAATTCCATGTAAAATTCTGACACTCTTGTTTACACGTTCTCTAGTTTTAAAAAGTATGTGTGTATATATTTCATGATTTGTTCTTAGGGAATCTATTGGCTCCTCTTGATCTAGCCCAAGTACTCATGAACCAGGCAGGTGACAATTTGAGAATTTTATGTAGAATTTTTTTTTTGAGTTAGGGTCTTGCTCTGCCTCCCAGGCTAGAGTGAAGTGACATGGTCATAGCTCACTGCAGCCTTGAGTTCCTGGGCTCAGGCGATCACTTGCCTCAGGCTCCCAAAGTGTTAAGATAACAGGCGTGAGCCACTGCACCCAGCTGTGTCTGGTCTTAAGATGCTAAAAGGAAGAGGATGCAGAGCCCATCTTTTCCCAGGCTCAGCATCCTCCAGTGGTCCTACAGCTACTCCAGCAGAAAACTACCGCTGCCTGACTTCCCACTTTTAATCAGTGACACCTCCAAGCTTGCAATGGAAATAATGGAATGACATTTCATTTGTGCAGCCTCCTAGGCTGGAATGATACTCGATACCTTCTTTTCCCTTGTCCTCAACAGCCAGTCAGTCACCAAGTCCTGTTGACATTTCTTTCATAATGACTTCTCCTGTTCGTTCCTTCTTTTTGCTTTATTTAATGCCTAGATTATTTTAATAGCTCCTTTTGTTTTTTATTTGAGAAAAATATGAATTTACAGAAGAGTACAGAGGTAAACATAACAAATGCCAGTAAACCCACCACCCAGAATTAACCATCATTAATATTTTCTTATACTTAGAAGATTCCTTAATTGACCTCATTTGTCTTCAGTCTTTTTCTCTCCTGAACACGGCAAGTGTAGGAGAGTCAAAGAAGAAAAACATGATAAGAAAGAAAATGGTGAGATTCCTTTCTATGGACCTAGAAATCTTATTAGTAACTGAACTAAAACTAGTTCTTCCTTTTATTCTTTCTACACTTTTTTTTTTTTCCCTCTGAGACAGAGTTTCACTCTGTCACCCAGACTACAGTGCAGTGGCACAATCATAGCTCACTGTAGTCTTGGACTTCTGGGTTCAAGTGATTCTCCTGCCTCAGCCTCCAAAGTTGCTGGGACTACCAACACCTGCCAACATGCCTATCTAATTTTTTTTTTAAGAGATAGGTCTCACTATGTTGTCCAGGCAGGTCTTGGACTCCTGGGCTCAAGCTATCTTTCCATCTCGGCCTCCTGAAATGCTGGCATTACAGGCATGAGCCACTGTGCCAGGCCTACATTTTTGTTTTTCTGAGATGTAGTCTCGCTGTGTTGCCCAGGCTGGTCTCAAACTCCTGGGCTTGAGTGATTCTCCCACCTCAGCCTCCTGAGCAGCTAGAATTACAGCCTTCATTTTAGTCTTTCTAAGAGAGTTTTCTTTTTTCTTTTTTTTTCCTTTTTTTTTTTTTTTTTTTTTTTTTTGAGACAGGGTCTCACTCTGTCACCCAGGCTGGAGTGTAATGGCATGATCTCAGCTCACTGTGACCGCCACCCCCTGGGTTGGAGCAATTCTCCTGCCTCAGCCTCCTGAGTAGCTGGGACTACAGGTGCCCGCCACCACACCCAGCTAATTTTTGTATTTTTAGTAGAGACAGTGTTTCACCATGTTGGCCAGGCTGGTCTTGAACTCCTGACCTCAGGTGATCCGCCAGCCTCGGCCCCCCAAAGTGCTGGAATTACAGGCATGAGCCATTGCGCCTGGCCTCTAAGAGAGTTTTCATCAGACCATGCTCTCACTCAAAATCTTCAATGGCTCTCCATTACCTCCATCTGGCCCTAACCAAACACCTATCACTCCTTTAGTGAACATTCCCCTTTGACCACACTGGAGGCCCTTCTCCCCAGAAGCCACACCCACCTCTCTCCATGCATACTCTTCTTACTTTTACTCGAGACATTCTACCTGTCCAGAATGACCTCCTCTCTCCTTGTTCCATCTTTGCCCACATCTCTATTCCTGAAGCTTTGCCTGACCCAGCCTGAAATATCTTTTTCCTCTTCAGGGATGAAGGATTCTCTGCAGCTCCTGATAGCTGTGGCATCATTGGAATGCCAAATGTTTTCAATTAACCACTTGCTTTCCCAATAAACTGAGCAACTCTGTGAAGAAACAATCTTACCATTTTCTTCCTTGATCCCTCCATGCCTTGCAAATTTCTCGGCACATAATGGGCCCTTGATAAATAATTTACTGGGAGTTTTTTTTTTTTTTTTTTTTTTGAGAAGTCTCGTTCTGTTGTCCAGGCTGGAGTGCAGTGGTGTGATCTCGGCTCACTGCAAACTCCGCCTCCCAGGGTCAAGCAATTCTCCTGTCTCAGCCTCCCAAGTAGCTGGGATTACAGGCCACTGCAACCATGCTCAGCTAATTTTTGTATTTTTAGTAGAGATGGGGTTTCACCATGTTGGCCAGGCTGGTCTCAAACTCCTCACCTCAAGCAATCTGCCCATCTCGGCCTCTCAAAGTGTTGGGATTACAGGCGGGAGCCACCACGCCCAGCCTAGACTTTTTTAAAGGTAGGGTTGAAGCCACCCCTTACTTCTGGAACACAGACCCTTCAGGGAATGAAAGCCATCATAGTGAATGAAGCCATCGTAGTGAACCCCAAGATAGCAGTAATTACTCACATTTGTGTGGTGCCTGCCTCCCAGCCCACACAGTGCTCTCATACACCATGACCTTCATGGTCCTCCCCACAACCATGTGAGACACTCAGGGGTAATTATTTAATCCCATTTTATAGATGAGGAACGAAGGCTCAGAGAGGTTTAGCTACTTGTCCAAGCTCACATACCTGGTAGGTGGCGGAGCCAGGATTTGAATCCAAGTTTTTTAATTCTCACTCTGAGCTCTTCCTCCTACCCAGACCACTTTCCCAAAGAGGCCAGAGGTGGGAAGGTTGTGGAACAGAGAGGAGTTGGACAGCAGGAGCTGTCACTTACCGGTCGGTTTTCATACTCCAGGCAGGGGCAGGTGATGGTGCAGCCATCCAAGAAGATCCGGCCCTTGGGAGGGGTCACTCTCCGACCCCCCTCAAGCTTGTAGTACACCAGCGTGTTCTGCCGAAGGATGAACCATCGCGCCTTCCAGTTGTGGACAATGTGGCCCTGTGGACAGACAAGAAAGCCCTGAGGTGAGGTGGCCAAGGGGAGGGGATGGTGTTCAGAGAGGGGTGTCCGGTGGCACAGGTAACCAGACTGTGCCGTGGAAGTGACTCTCCAAGGAAGACAGCAGGATTTGTGTCTGGATCTCTTTTGAGTATGTAGCAAAGACCTTTGGCACTGACCTTCTAGTTCCTATTTGGCCATTTTTCTGGTTACAACCCTTGAAAGAAACTACAAAGTAAAAAGAAGAGAAAAATCACTCACCTGTAATCCTACTGCTAGGAGACAGCCATTGCTAACCTACTCTATTTCCTTCCAGTCTTTTTTCCTTTTAGTTTTTGCCTTCTGGTTTTTTTAAAAAATTAAGATTATTTTAAATATAGTTTTATTTTCTAGTTTTTTCTTTTTTTTTTTTTTTTATTCTTATTTTATAGACAAGGTCTCAAAAAGACAGGCTGGAGTACAGTGGCATGACCTCAGCTTACTGCAGCCTCCCCTTCCTGGACTCAAGTGATCCTCCCACCTCAGCTTCCCAGGTGGCTGGGACTATAGGCGTGTGCCACCACATCTGGCTAATTTTTACATTTTTGTGTAGAGACATGGTCTCACTATGTTCCCCAGGCTGGTCTTGAAGAACTCCTGGGCTTCTGTGATCCTCTCACCTTGGCCTCCCAAAGTGCTAGGATTACATACATGAGCCACCATGCCTGGTCCCTGTTTTGTTTGGCCTTGCTGAGCATCTTCTGACGCCATTAAATTTCTGTAAAACATATTTTTAATGACGATTATGTGGATACATAGTTTACATGCCAACTTCTATTGTTCGTAACTGAGGTTGTTCCATTTTTTTCACTATTCTGTAATGAATATCCTTGCATGTAAATTTTGACCTGCATCTGTTTTTTTCCTTTGGATATATTCCTAGAAAGAATATTACTAGTGAAATGATGTGGGCAATATGAGGCCATGTATAGTCTCCCAGTGCTAAGGACTCTGACAGTCTTACCTAGCCAGGTGTGGCAGGTATAAAAAGAAGGGTAGTTTAGGTGGTTCTCAGGTGGCAGGTATAAAAAGAAGGGTAGTTTAGGTGGTTCTCACGTGGGTGGTAGAGCCAATGGACAGAACAGTCAGGTGAGTATGGAGAGCCTATTTCTAGAACAGACCAGTGGATAGGGAAATGTCTTCTGAGGGATCAGGAAAGAATGAGTTTAGTACGCAGTCACGAAAGCACCTTCCTGGGATATTTCCAAAGCCCAGCTTAGGGCTAGGTTCTAACCAACAGAGGTGCTTTACCTGAATCAAAGTCCGTTGCCCCAACTTACTCATGTCCTTGCCTAGCACGGATTCATATCAAAGGCCCTTTTAGTTCCCAGTCTCTGGTGCTATGATTCTATTCCACACTCAGCACATACTAAGAGCTGTTAGAGAGTCAAAAGTTGTAGAAGGAATCGTCTGCATCGAAGTTATTTGTGCATATAACTGAGCTTTGTGAGCACTGACTTGAACCCAAACAGAATTTACTGCGACAACTAAATAAGACTTATAACACAGCTAATCTGACAAGAGTTTATTAACATGTCTCAGTGTTATTATGCTACGTGATGATCACTCTTTCCATGAGAGGGCTTGTGCAGTCCAGCGGAACTGCACATTTTTGCTGTCTTCACTTTGCTCCTTACTTACATCCACATGTAATATGGGCATTGACAGTTTTACCTTACACAAGCAGACATGTTTAAAAAAACAAAAAAGATTTGTCTTTGACTTCTCAGCTATTGGGGTTCTCTACTGCTCTGCACATAGCCCAACCTCAGGTCCCCATTTCCTGTGACCACCAACCCCCAACTGCAGGGGTCCTGGGGCAGCACTAGCAGGACTGGTCTGGGACATCTGGGTGCTTCCGAATCCAAGGCAGTAAACTGCTGGCACCCAAGGCTGTAGCTGGAAGGGAGAGGAGAATGCAATTAAGTTCACGGCATGTGGACTGGTGGGAGGTGGTGTAGAGGAGAGGGCAAAAGAATCTTAGGGCTGAGCAAGGTGGTTCACACCTGTAATCCCAGCACTTTGGGAGGCCAAGGTAGGGGGATCACTTGAGACCAGGAGTTTGAGACTAGCCTGGGCAGCATAGTGAAATGCCATCTCTACAAGAAAAAATTAAAAATTAGCTGGGCATGGTGGCACACATCTGTAGTCCCAGCTACTTGGGAGGCTGAGGAGGGACAATCATTTAAACCCAGGAGTTTGAGGCTACAGTGAGTATGATCACAGCACAGCACTCCACCTGGGTGACAGAGCAAGATTCTGCCTCTTAAAAAAAAAAAAAAAAAAAAAGTGGTATGGGATGAACTGTGTGCCTGTGTGCCTCCAAAATTCATACGTTGAATGCCTAGCCCCAGTGCCTGAGACTGGGAATGTATTTGGAGATATATTCCCTTTAAAGAGGGAATTAAATTAAAATGGGGTCATTAGGATAGGCCTTAATCCAATCTGACTAGAGTCTTTATAAGAAAAGGAGATTTAGATTGGGTGCGGTGGCTCAGGCCTGTAATCCCAGGAATTTGGGAGGCTGAGGCAGAAGGATTGCTTGAGCCCAGGAGTTTGAGGCCAGCCTGAGCAACATAGTGAGACCCCATCTCTATTAATAAAAATAAATAAATAAATAAAAATTAGCCAGACATGGTGGCACGTGCCTGCAGTCCGAGCTACTTGGGGGGCTGAAGTAGGAGGATTGCTGGGACCCAGGAGGTTAACGCTACAGTGAACCAAGATCATGCCACTACACTCCAGCCTGGGCAACAGAGTGAGTCCCTGTCTCTAAAACAACAACAATAATAATAATTTTAAAAAGAAGAGGAGATTTGGACACACGGAGAGCTCACACAGAGGAAAGACCACTGAGGACACAGTGAGGAGGTGCCATCTGCAAGCCAAGGAGAGAGAGGCCTCAGAAGAAACCAAACTGCTGGTACCTTGATATTGGACTTCTAACATGCAGAACCATGAGAAATAAATCTCAGTTGTTTAAGCCACCTATTCTGTGATATTTAGTTATAGCAGCCCTCACAAACTAATATGACAGGGAAAGGAAGGAGACTAGTGATATAAGAGGAGAAAAGTGCAACCAACAGATATTGGGCAGAAAATACAAATACAGGCCAGTGCAGTGGCTCACGCCTGTAATCCCAACATTTTGGGAGGCCAAGGTGGGCAGATCACCCAACTCCTGAGGTCAGGAGTTAGAGAGCAGTCTGGCCAACATGGTGAAATGCTGTTTCTGCTAAAAATATAAAAATTAGCTAGGCATGGTGGCAGGTGCCTATAATCCCAGCTACTCAAGAGTCTGAGGCAGAAGAATCACTTGAACTCAGGAGGCGGAGGTTACAGTGAGCCAAGATGACAGTGCCACTGCACTCCAGCCTAGGTGACAGAGGAAGAGTCCATCTCAAACAACAAAAACAACAACAACAACAACAGCAACAACACAGAGATGTTATACTTTCCTGGATGAAATGTTATACTTCCCAGAGTCCCTTCCACTTAAGGAAGTTTCTGTCAGTTCCACGCATGGGGCATTGATGTATTTTTTTACTTGACATTTTTTTATTTTTAATTTTTGTGGGTACATAGCAAGTATATATATATTTATGGGGTACATGAGATGTTTTGATACAGGTATACATTGCATAATAATCACATTATGGAAAATGGGGTACCCATCCCCTCAGGCATTTATCCTTTGTGTTACAAACAATCCAATTATACTCTTTCAGTTATTTTAAAATGTACAATTAAGTTATTATTGACTATAGTCACCCTGTTGTGCTATTAAATAGTAGGTCTTTCTCATTCTTTCTAATTAATTTTTTTGTACCCATTAACCATTCCCACCTCCCCTGCAGCCCCTCATCCACCCTTCCCAGCCTTTGGTAACCATCCTTCTGCTCTCTAAGTCCATAAGTTCAATTGTTTTGATTTTTGGAGCCCGCAAATAAGTGAGAACATGTGATATTTGTCTTTCTGTGCCTGGCTTATTTCATTTAACATAATGACCTCCAGTTTCATCCACATTGTTGCAAATGGCAGGATCTCATTCTTTTTCATGGCTGAATAGTATTCCACTGTGTATATGTACCACGTTTTCTTTATTCATTCATGTGTTGGAGGACACAGGTTGCTTCCAATCTTGGTTATTGTAAACAGTGCTGCAACAAACATGGGTGTGCGGATATCTTTCAATATTCTGATTTCCTTTCTTTTGGGTATATACCCAGCAGTGGAATTGCTGGATCACATGGTAGCTCTATTTATATATATTTTTGAGGAACCTCTAAATTGTTCTGCATAGTGGTTGTACTAATTTCCATTCTCACCAACAGTGTGTGAGGGGTTCCCTTTTCTCCACATCCTCACCAGCATTTGTGTTTGCCTGTCTTTTGGATAAAAGTTATTTTAACTGGGGTGAGATGATATCCCATTGTAGTTTTTTTGATTTGCATTTCTCTGATAATCAATGGTGTTGAGCACTTTTTCATAAACCTCTTTGCCATTTGTATGTCTTCTTTAGAGAAGTATCTATTCAAATCTTTTGCTCATTTTGCACTGATGCGTGTTAGACGGCAGTCAAACATGGAAAAACAAGATATTTTGGCAAGGACAGTAGCAGAAGAGCAGATCATTCTGATACCCAGACCCAGAGTTATCAGGGACAGGTGGCAAACAGTGTCAGCAGTGATGCTTCCAAGAGAAACATCTTCCAACAGAAATGACACCAACCTGGTACTGTGGGTGTTTTTGTCTGACTGTATGGTCCCCGGCTCTATAGCATCCCAGCCAAATATTCTCTGACCTGTCAAATATTCCCAAGTTTTTATATGTCCTCCAAGAAACCCCTTCTGTTCAAAGTCACTAGAGTGGAATGTGTTATAAGCAACTGAGAATCCTAACTGATAGCAAAGGAGAGAAGTCTGAGGAGAAAAACTGATGACAAAAGATGTACTATGTAG